GGTTGGTGTAAAGCATGGCTTGGCTAATTATCCTCCTGGCGATCCTAGGGGTCTCTCCTTGATCTCGCGCGCCCGATTGTGGCTTGCCGCATGCGCCAATTTGGCCTCAGCCCTGCATTTCAAGCCTAGCGCGCTGAGCTGGTTCGCCGCCGCGAAGCCGTGCCTGCGAAGTTCCCCAGCCACCTGCTTCGCGACCTGCTCCAATGAACTCAGGTCTTCGCCTTGTCGGTCGCGATCGGTAGGTCCGGCGCTTGAAGAAACGCGGCGAGCCGGCCAATCGCCGACCGAACCATTTTAATTATGTCCTTCATGTCCATCATGGTTTGCAGGGTGGCGTCGTCCGCGCGTGTCCGGCCAGCGCGCGCGGTGTGCTCGATATCTAGACGAGGTAGACATCGAGCGGCATCATCCGTACTAGTTGCAAGAGGTTCGTCGACGCCGAGCAGTCTGGGAGCGCACCGCGCTTAGTGCGCACCGCGTTGGAGTGCGTCCCCCCCCGCCTGGTGCGTCTCGGAGCTGCGCGCGTGGCCGACGCGCTCCGACGGGGCGCCCCAGGAAATTCAATGTGCTTCGCCGCGTAGGCAATCTTGGCCCAAGACGACCCGGTCGAAACACTTGCTCATGTTCACCAGGGCCGCGACGACGGCGCCCCCCGCCTCGGTGTCGGCCCCCCTGCGCGGACTATTGTGCGGGCGCTCGCTTCGATGGTCGCGCGCCCCGTGCCCGCTGCGAAGCGCCGTCGAGCGCTGGCAGCTGCCCGCCCCCCGACGCGCGCGAACCTGACCTTCGCGCGCGCCTGGTGCGTGGAAGGGGGGAGGGCGATCGGCCTGGGGCCGCGCTGGGGCTTCGCGCGGAGCATCGCGTGAGTCGCCGCGATGCTAGGCGATCGCGTGCCCCATGCCTCACTGGCCCAGGGGATGTAGAGAACCAGTGCTATGGCATCGTCAAAGAGGAGGGAATCTGTCTGTGGATACGTGGCGCCCCCACCTCGTGAGCAATCTTCCACGCGAGCGATCTCGCGGCCCTCCGGACTTCCACTGTCGTCGGCTTGGGCAGCGTCTCCAGGAGCAAGGGGCGGACGCGGTCGGCCAGGATCCCCCTCCTTGTCGGCTATGCGGTCCGCGTCAAACTCGCTGACTGGTTGGGCAGGGTGCACTTTTTTGGTGGGCTAGCGGAGAAAAGGGGGCATCGTTCGCGGTCATTTCCCGTGGGCCGACTCCGCGTCGCCCTGCCAGATGTCGCTCCAGAAGTTCATCTGGTTGTCTGTCACGGCCTGCGGCGCGGCGCTGCGAATGCCGAGCCTGTCGACCTCGCTGCGCGCCCGCCCCTTGAGCTCAGTCATGCCGGTGACTGGAGCGGCTCCCGCGACCGTCTAGTCCAGGGCCAACTCGCGGATGCTCTTGGCGCGCTTGAACGCCGCCTCTCGCTTGAGGGCCTCCGCGTGGCTATCGCCGCGCAGACGGAGACCGCCGTGGGGCGGGGGGAAAATCTGCGTCCATCCCGCGCGCGAAGTTAAAGACCAAGCCCGCTCGAACAGCTGGGTCGCCCTGGCGGAAAGGATGTCCCGGCGGTGTCATGGCCGAAATGCCCTGGGCAGCCTGGCCCGTCTCCGAGGTTCTTGCATGTCGCTCCACCGCGCAGCCAAAGCACTGGAGATCCATGGGGGGTCGCGCGCGTGGCGAGCCTCCGGGCCCGCCGCGGGGCGGCCGCGCTGCAGGCCTCCCCCCGCTGTGCGTCGGGCGCGCGCGGGCCGCCCCGCTCGGCAACGGCGCTCGTTGGGCCCCTTCAGATGGCATGTGCCGCGGAGATCGCGCTCTATGAAGGAGACGAAGATCGCGTGCACCTCGACGAGGAGCGCCTGCGCGCCAGGCCCGTCCCCGCACCGTCCGCGGCGCGCGTCCTGCTAGGGGGCGTGTCGACGCGCAACTGGGCAATCGGTGGCCCAGAGCGGACGTGCATCGGCGTGCCTGGGCGCCCGCGGGTGAAGCTGCCGGCGCGCGCGCGGCCTCGCGTCTACATCGACGCGCGCAGGTTGGCGGGGCTGCGGGGCCCAAGCGTTCAGGAACTGCGGATTGCCATGGTGCTCGACGAAATCCGGCGAGGTCAACCTGCAGTCGATGGCGCGGCATGCGCCAGTAGTTGCCCTCCTGCGCGCCCCCGCCGACGGGCGCGACCGGTGCCGAAGGTATCGCCTGGAATAGACGCAGCCCGTCCGAGAAGTGAAGCTCTGCGTGCAAATCTCCTGCGAACGCGAATGGGGTCGAGCAGTAGCGCGCGCGCCGCCGCGCGCGCCAACTTGAAGTAGCGCGCGGCGAGGAAGTCGCCCCGCGAAACTGACTCGAGGTAGGCCGACTCCGCGATGATACCTCCAGAGGCTTCAACATTCACTCTCGCTGTAGCCACCTACGAACGCGTGATCTCAAAACCGTCAGTGGCGCCCCCATCTCTACTCAGCAACGTAGTGTCCACATGAGTCCTGATAATGGTCCCCGCCCCCGCGCTCGGCAGCCTGGGCTCCAGCCGCCGGCGCGGGTCACTGACTGGCTGCCATCCGTGTCGCGGAGCCCACGTGCGAGCTTCGTCTCGCCGTCGGTGCACAGCTTTTGCACGGTCACAATTTTGGTGCCCCCCGCGCCCTCAATCAGAAACTGTTGACACGTTCTCCACCAGTACCCGTTCATGTCAGTCGCGCCTGTCGTAACCCTGCGAGGGTCCCGACGTCCGCGTCTACGTGCTGCCTGCGCACCCCCGAATCGCCACTGTGACTTCTTCTGGAGCTGCTGCAGGTGCGGCTGGTGGTGGTGATGCTGCTGCTGCGAGTGGTGGCCCCGCTGTTAGGGCGGCGCTGGCGCTGGCGGCGCGAAAAACGACTGGTGCCCCTTGGTCTGGAGGAGGCGGCGCCGCCGCGCCGAACCCCCAGCTGCTTCAGGATCGAACTGCCGACGTCGCAGCCCTGGCAGCCCTGGATGGAATCGTGGGCTTCCTGGGGAGTCTCTGAAGCGAAACGACGGTCGCAACTGCGTCGCCTCCGAAGGGCTGTGGCGTGTTGACCAACTTGGCCTGTGCCACCTCCGCGTTTGACTCCACCAACTGCTGCTTGATGTTCGAGGGCTTCGGGTTGGCCACCTCCAGCTGCTCCGTGAGGCCGTCGACCTCCGCCTGGAGCTTGGCGCGCTCCGTCTCTCTGGTAGCCTGGCGGTTGATGGCCGAGGGAAGCATATCCTCGGGAGCCATGGTCGCGCGATCTTCGGCGTCGGCCTGTGTGAGCTCCGTCCTGGCGGCGACCACCAGCGGGTGCATGTCGCCGTAGATCCCGCGTAGGGCCTTGAGCGCACGCCTGCACTTGACCACCGCATGGGGCTCAGTGCTGGTGGAGCTGGTCCGTGGCCTCCCCGCCGGCATTAGCAGCAGGTCGAGGTGGACGGCCACCACCCTCTGAACGGGGCCGTGCCGAGCGAGGACGACCACCTCTCGTGGCGGTGGGCCTGCCCTAGCCCTTCCTGCCGCGGCCCTAGCAAATTTGGCGGCTCGCGCAATCGCTGGCGAACCCGCAGGCCCTGGTGGCAGCGCGTGCCCAGGTCGGGCCGCCACCTCTTTGCGGGGCCGCCGCACGCCATGGGGCAAGGGGTTCACTGGCACGCGCATCGCCTGGCGGGCCGAGGCCCTCCGCCGCCTCACCCTCCTGTGCCACGGTGGCGAAGGCGAGCCGCTATGGCGCGCGGCCGTCTGGATGAACCCACATGCGCACCGCCGCCCGCTGAACACGGGCAGGCGGGCAGGCGGCTGGGGTTTCGCGGGATCGTGCAACTTTAACAGTCCGAGCACAAAACGCCTGGAGGAGGAGGAAGAGGAGGAGGAGGAGGAGGAGGAGGAGGAGGAGGAGGAGGAGGAGGAGGAGGAGGAGGAGGAGAAGGAGGAGGAGGAGGAGGAGGAGGAGGAGGAGGAGGAGGGGGAGGGGAGGAGGAGGAGGAGGAGGAGGAGGAGGAGGGAGGAGGAGGAGGAGGAGAGGAGGAGGAGGAGGAGGAGGAGGAGGAGGAGGAGGAGGAGGAGGAGGAGGAGAGGAGGAGGAGGAGGAGGAGGAGGAGAGGAGGAAAAGGAAAGGTGGACCTGTGCTCGTCGAGTGAGGAGGAGGAGGAGGAGGAGGAGGAGGAGGAGGAGGAGGAGGAGGAGGGGAGGAGGAGGAGGAGGAGGAGGAGGAGGAGGAGGAGGTGGATGAGCAGAGCGGGAGGATGACGATGAGAAGGGAGGAGGAACAGCAGCCGCAGCAGGAGGGCCAGAGCGGAGCAGGAGGACCAGGGCACGGCGGAAAAAAGGGAAAGGAGGGGGCGACCACGATGAGAAAGGACTCGGACCCATACGTGTGGCCCGCGCTGTGACGAGAGCGCCATTCTGAACGACGGGAGCGCCGGTCTTGAAGTGTGCCCAATGATGCAGCGGGAACACCACTTTGACACATACCAGAAATGCTCCGCACGAAACGCACCTGATGGCACATCCACCTTAGACATCCGATAACATAGCAAGAACTAGGCACGGGAGAACAGGGGCGCCGCTCGGACATAACCCAGGGAGAGAGGAGGGCAAGTCTTACATTGTGCAGGAAGGAGAAAGGGGTGGGATCAGGACGAAGAGGAGGGAAACATGCGAAATGAGGAGGAGGAGGAACGATCCCCAAATCTCCCAATCCGACTGCATTGCAGATAGGTGCCTGTCGCTGGGAAGAAGTGGGTGGACACATGGAATAGGACGGCGTTGTAAGTACATCGGGATACCGCCCGCCCGCTGAACAGGAGAAGAGGAGCCATTCGATGTTTGAAATAGCAGGACGCCTGAAATAGATTCGACTCCGGGAACACAGCTATACCTAGTTCCAACGAGCGATGGGTACCCCCGATCTTTGACCTTCGGTTTGACGGCTGATCCCATCTTTGTTCCACTGCTTGCTCCCCCGCTTCCTCGATCAATGCGACTGGCCTGGGCATGGTTGCTGGATGGGCTGGTGGAGATTATATATATATATATATATATATATATATATATATATATATATATATAATAAGAAATACAGCCGCAGGCGGAAGCGCCAGCGGCGGAAGGTCGCGAACGGGCCGCGGACGCGACTAAATTACCTAACGCGCGCAGGGCCGCGGAACAGGCGGCTCACGACAGCGTCCAGGGAAGACGATGCAATCCAGGTGCCATGCCAGCTCCTGAACGGGCATGCAGGTGCGTCCAACAGGCCTGAGGTAGGCACCGAGACCACCAAGCGCAGCCAAAATGGTGCGAAAACGTTCCAACGTCCAAGAGCGAACGGGAACGACCGAGGACGCCAGCCCCAGCCTGTCGGGTAACACAGAGGTCGGGGTGGTAAGACGCGTCGCGTCGCGTATCCCCACCTGGTGGGGATACGCGACGCGTCAAGACGTTCGACCTGGGGATCCCAAACTATATTTGTTCAACGGTACCCCTCCCGGCTCTGCCCTTTCCGGGGGTCTGGGGCGGAAGGGGCCCCCGCAATTGGTACGCACCCGGCCCACCTGCGAGCCGTCCTCGAGGATGCTCGCGGACCTGGCATCCCAGTGGGGCTGAGGGGACGTCGGGAGGGGGGGCAGGCGAGAGCACGCAAGGACGGGAAGGGAACGAGGGAGGGCGGGAAATTCTTCGCCCTCTCTCTTGCCCTCTTCCCTCCTCTTTCCGCTTCCTCGCCCTCCTCCTCCTGCCCTTTTCCCTCACTGTACTCCTACTCTCCACTGCAGCCGGCCGTGACCCTCCATTCTACGTGTGAAAACGGTACGGCAGGTTCGTGTCGTGCCGACCCCAGCGTTGGTTTTTGACACCGCAGGGATCGTTCAACCTTGAACGATCGGCCGCTGCCACAACGTCCGATCGTTCAACATCGATCGATTCTGGGTCGCCGGCGGCGTTCAACCTCGAACGCCCGCGCTGGGGTCGCCGCTGGTCGACACGACGCAAACCTACCGTAAAGAAACACGATGTTCGTCTCAACCTGAGCACCACTCGCCCATGTTGCAAACTGCGGCGTAAGAGTGGGGCGGGGGCGCACCTCCCGCGCGGACGGCCGAAGTGCCGCTCTCGCCCCAGCGATGCGCCCCTTCCTTCCCTCTCTCCCTCCCTTCCTTTCCTCCTCCTCCTTTCCTCCTCCTTCTCCTCCCTCTCCTCCCTTCCTCCCTCCTCCCTCCTCCTCCAACCGCACCCTTAAAAATTAAGCTCCCGCCTGGCCGCGGCGAACAGTTTTCCCGCGCAACTCTGCCGATGCGCGAGCGAGCGAAAATGTAGCTCTCGCCTCGACGCGGCGCATACTTGCAACTCGCCATTTCTTGGGGTGGTGTCCCGCGCGGGCGCGGCGCATGGTTCGTTCGCAGAATCGCCTGAGCGCGACAGCGGCAGCACGGCCGCGCGAGAGCGGACGAAATTTGAGCAGGGACCGACCGTCCTGGCACTCTTGAAGGCTTGCCAAGAAATGCTCGCTTAATCAATGCTTGTTCAAATAACACAACAAGGTTCTTATCGCATAAAACGGATGTTTCAAACCAGTACGGGTTCAGCCAGAAATCTGCCAAGCACATGTCATGCGAACTACAAAAGTTTCCTAGAACATTCTTTGGTGCGCCTGTAGGCAAGCCGAGACGCTTCGCCACTGCTTGAGACATGCCGGCCTCGCCCAAGTGCCGCGCAGTTTGTTCGTGAACGTGAACATGCCGTGCCAGCGCGGCGTAGGCTTCGTCTTCGCCGCGCCCATCAGAAATTGTGCCGCCCGGGCCCTGTCCGGCACGCGTAGCCTTCTCTTCGCCAGGCCGTCGGGAGCGGGGCCGCGCGCAAGCGCCTTCCGTTCGCGAGGTGGGAACGCGTTCCAACCCCACTGTCGAGTTGTACCTCATTTTTTTTTTTTTTTTTTTTTCTTCCGCGGCAAGTGGTCAAGGGCACACTTCCGAGAAGACAGCGTGCTGGCAATGAGTAACTGCAGTCCTCGGGATAATGCCCGACGATGGCGAAGGAGGGATAGTGCAGTCGCAGTCCTCGGGATAATGCAGTCGCGGGTTGTACCTCAAGGTGTCCCTATGGCTTGGGAGGGGGAGTGCGAACCGGCGGGGCCCTCTGACTCGCTCGATCTGGCTGACTGGACTCCTCGTGCTACTCGTCCATCCCCTGTTCCTTGCACGTAGCGCCTCCTGCCGCACCCCCAGACGTGTCGGGAGGGCGGGCCAGGCGTTTCCTCCGACACTTCCTCACCACCTGTGACCCTGAGGCTTGCAACTCGCAGTGGTTACGAGAGTGGAACACAAAAGGCTTTCGACATTGAAGGGGCCCAGGGACACACACATAAATACACACGAATCCCAACATTCCGGATTTTATCGCATATTTTCTGGATTTCCGTCTTCCCCCATACTTCCCACATTTTCCAAGATATTCCTGGGGATCGACGATTTATTGTGCCTGTGTGCTTTTCCCCTCCTGAAAAGAAGCGCGCGGTGGTCCTAGAAATCTGTACCAGTTGCAGACAGGATAGGGCACAAGTGCCTTGTAACATAAAACTCTCGACGGAGCACCGCGCCCATTCGCCGCGAGAGGCTGCAACAGTGGCAAAGGGATGGAGCCCAGGTGATCGTCGAAGTGGGGCCCTCGACTGAGCGCCGCGCACTTTCGCTTCCACAGCCTGCGGCCCACTCTCAGAATGGGGCTCTCGCGTGTGGCGCCGCGCACAGGCGTCCAGAAAGCTTTTGCAGCAGCTACACGGATGACAGGCGACTCCCTGTCAAAAAGGGGGCTCTCTCTTTGGAGCCTTCCCCCGTGAAAGAAGCTAGGAGCCTCCACACGTGCAGCATGCGCGCACAGGTGGAGGGCGGCTCCTTTCGCAGCACGGGCCTCCCGCTCGAGGTGTCCTCGGAGCTTATGACCAGGAGTTTTGGCTTAAGTCGGGCGTGTCCCCCATACAGGGGGATTTTTGACGAAACATTTAAAATACTCAGAGAATACACCAACATAGTCAGAACATGCGCAACGAATAGTCCCCATACTATTTTGACTACTTTTGAATATTCCCCCTGTAGAGGGACAGGCCCGACTTAAGTTTAAGCCTGTGCAACAGGTGCACAAATGGAGGGCGGCCCTCTTCCGAGACGGAAGTTTCGCTGGACACCTCGTTGAACTGTGTCTTCACACCTTCTTCCGTTCCTGACTCGGCGCGGGAACAATTGCAAGCCATGCTCTTCTCAAAACGGGGCCGTCGCCTGAGTGGCAAGCCCAAGTGATGTGGATCTTTCAAGGGGACGCTTCTTGTGGTGCAGGGGAAGGCGAGTGCGGACGTCTGAAGAGGGGACTCTGGGACGGGAGGGTGTGCTGCAACATCGTTGATGCATCTTGGGTTCACTCGGGCCCTGCTCCTCCTTCTCCTATTCATCGTTCTCCTCCTCCTTCTGCTCGTGCTCCCCCTCCTTCCCCCCCTCCTCCTCCTCCTCCTCCTCCTCCTCCTCCTCCTCCTCCTCCTCACCTTGATCCTTCCGCCTCCACCACACCTGCTTCTCTTCATATTCCTCGAGGGGGGGAGGGGGAGCGACACCTCTGGCGCATGGAACGATGCAAGGCGGATGCTTCTCTCCATTTGGGGCGTCCGGGGGCCCCCGCTGGGCCCGGGGCCATGGGGCCGTGGCGGAACGGTGACATGCCAGCCCTGGGAGTGGCATGGCGCGAAAAAGCTACGACGTCGGACATCCAAGGGGGGGGAGGGGGGGAGGGGGGGGGGGAGGGGCGGGGCGAGGGGAGGGGGCGGGGGGAGGGGGAGGAGGCGGGGGGGGGGATTGAGGGGGAGGAGCCCCGTCGCCCCACGCGTATGGATCAGAGGCGAAGTCCTACTATCTCCCAAGAGGCATCGCAACGCAGACGATTCACGAACTCAGGGCCCTGCCGAGAGGGCCCGTCAAGACGAGGCTCGAGACCACCGTTGGTTAAAGGTAGATTGAACTGTCCTGCCGGGCCCTGGACAAAAAGACCCTGGAGAACCGCGCCGGTGCCAAACTTCATGGTGCTCCTCTTGACGCCCCGACTCTGCTGCTGGGCGGCCCTTCCCTTTCACCACCTGCTGAGAAGGACGAGGATTATGTTGCTCCCATCGTACTTAAGGACCACATCTCAGAAACAATTTCGAGCACCCCAAAAAGTATTGAAACAGTGTCGAACGAGTATCGCCTCCCAGGGTCTGACACGTGAAAACCCTCCAATTTCGGTACTTTCTTGGCACTCGAAAATCTTCCTGGTGATCAAGGCTCAAGTAGGTTGGAACATGATAAGGCGAGGATGAAGAGCGGCAGCAGCAGCAACGGGGCACGGACTGCTGCAGGTAGGGAGGACGGCACGCGCACTGCTAACGCTGCTCTGACCGTCGCGGTCCAAGCAACTGATGAACATAAAGCACGGAGTATCTAACTTCTCGGAGGTCCGCGCGGATTCCTTGGATCGGCGCTGGAGGCGCCGCCAGAGGGGGGGACCCAACGCCGATCCGAGAAATCCGCGCGGACCTCGGTGAACATCTGTTTATGCTGAGCTTGTTATTCGAAGCCAACTTGCCCTCGCATGTGCATGTCGTCGTGCACGCCCTCTGTCTGCATTGCGCGTGCAACGCCCCTTCGTCGTCAACGCTTGGTGGCAACTTACATTGGCGCTTCTGCTAGTCATCGCTGTGTTGGGCCAACCGTCCGTGAAGCAACATGGTTCTTCGAAAGCAGTTGGGCTACACGCAAAGAGTGACCCCAGGCAAGAGCGACTTCTGGTGCGCGGAGGCAAGGGACGCAAAGTGGCCAAACCGAAGCTCGCGAGCAGCCGCTGTCGCAGGGCGCTCAGCGATCGCGGGGGCGCCGATGAGCCCGCGCCAGCAGGCCACTCCGGGGAAGGGCCACTCTGGCGTGCAGTCGAGCAGCGCACCTCGAATCCACGTTCTGCTTGTCGGCCTTGTCCGGCTTTCTCAGCGAGAACATTGCCACGCCTCCCCCCCCAGGCGCCGAGCGGGCCGCGCCGGCGCGCTGCCAGAAGACCCGAGTGAAGAAGCCGCAGGCAGCCACGAGGGGGGGCCACGATGGGGGGCCACGCTGGGGCGCAACAGTGGGCCACCAATTTCGGGGGCCCGCGCTCCCTCACACGGCGTCAGAGGAGCTCTATGCATACGTACTCATTACAGATGCATACCTAGATTCATATGTCAGTCTGTCTGTATGTATGTATGCATGTATGTCTGTATGTGTGTAGGCAGGTAGGTCGGTATGGGGCAAGAGATATTTACACACACATATATATATGTATGTATAGAAACAAAACAACAGAAAGAGATAATGCGAGAAAAAGACAGAGAGAGAGAGAGAGAGAGAAAAACAGAAAACCGCTACAGAAAAGCTGCTCAGAGCGAGGAGCAAACTACGCAGCACCTCCAGCGCCACTCGAGAACACGCCCCGGGGCGACCCCCCAGAAGGCGCTGGCCCAGACCCCGCGCGGCCGAAGAACCACGGAGCCCCACTGGGCGAGCTCCCTGGAGCGGAGAAGCACGGCGAAGCCCGTCGGTGCCACCCCGGCTCCCCCCCCGCAACAACATCGGGATCCACCAAGGGTGGGGGGTGACCCTGCGGGGGGGCATGAATTCGATCCGTTGGTGCACCGAACTGCCGCGAATAGATGCCCCTCGCATGCCCCACATGTCGGCAACTATCGAGAGCTGCCGGCGGCTGGGGGGCATCTGTTTTGGGCGGTTAGGGGCAGAAGCCGATCGAACTCGCACCCGCCTGGGGCACACACACACCTCTACGGGATCCTGGGAGAAGCGGCATGGCGAGCATCTCGGCATCGCTCGGACGTCCATTCCCCGTGCGTTTGTCGGTGTCGTGCGCGCCTGTATGCAGTCGGCCCGTATCATAAGGATGCGCGACAAGGATGCAAGGGCCTCGGATACCCATTTCGAAGCTTCTCGAGCGGAGCGCGGCCAAAGAACGTGGCCACGGATGGACCGAGGAGGCAAGGATGCAAGGGTACCCTTTGGAAGGATGCCCATCCTTGATGCCCTTGTTGATGGTCCTCGCCGAGAAGACATGCACACGTCCAAGTGCTGCCAAGGCTTCCTGCCCCCCTCTGCGCGCGGCTGAGAGCAGACACCTATGTACGGTCGGGAACTTTTGCTTAGCGTGTCGCGGCGGCGGCCCCAGCGACGCGCTATGCCTTGCAGGCAGATGTTTTTTTGGGGGGGGGAAGGAGAAGATGGGAGCGGACAGCAAATTTTCACGCAACTAGCCTCGCCAAACGACCCGTCGACAAAGCATGCCCCCCCGCAGGATTGTCCTGCGAACGTGGGCTGAACATGTAAGAACAAACTTCGCCAGGGACGGGCCTCAAATCGAGGACACGCCAGAACACCCCAAATTGAAGAGACGGCCTGCAAAGGCGGCAACAAGCAACGAACATGTCAAGACTTACGGCCCGGACATGCGGACGGAGGAGGATAACGACGACGAGGAAGAAGAGGAGACGAAGATCCCGCAAGTCGGCTGCTCAAACTCTGGCCCATGCCAAAAGTAAAAAGCACCGGCCACACTGGGGTAGAGGGGACGGGGGGAGAGGAACCCTGAGGAGGAGGAGACCCCTCCTCATCGGCCTGTCTATCACTTTTACCTTTGTTACTGATCTCCTCACCGCCGGCGACTCCTGGAGCGGTGCTCCAGGGGTCGCATGGCCTTAATTTGATCAACCCCCTTCAGGGCCGACCAGTCCTGGGGGGAGGCAGCACCCACCGGGACCTCATGCCACCAGGAACCAGGAACCAGGAGGAGAGAGGAGGAACGCGAAGGAGCAATCCAACACAGTTGGAGCAGCGCTCAGACCAACCTGCCATAAGCGAGCCGTTACGCGCAACCAGTGTACGGAAATCAAAACTTACACATCAGAGCCCGAGCTCCGTGAACGACCTTGCCAGCAGATCGCGTGTCGCACCGCGCCGTGGGGCGGGAATCCAGGGAGAGCTCGGGACGGTGCGCCGAAGCGCGGTGGGCCAGAAACGGCGGCGCGACACGCTAAGCCAAAACTCCTGACCGCACGTGAATGCAACGATTCCACCCCCCTCCCCAGCAAAACCAAGGAGCAGCAAGGCGGACGGTCTCCCCCTGCGCGCCCCCCCTTGGGGCAAGCACACTGGGCGCCTCCTCCTCGCTCTTCCTTCCTTCCTGACAGATTTTCTGCTGCCCCGAATCTATTGCTACCCCGACTTGGGCGATCCGTGGCTGCAGCGTCCAACGAGTAACAAGGAAAGAAGCCAGCATGCAACACCGGCGGCCGCAACGATAGGCAGGAATAGCAGGGGAGCTCACGATGGCGCGCAGATGCGGTGCGATCTGCAATTCAGAGCTCGAGAGTCCTCCTCCTCCTGCTCCTCCTCCTAGTTCTATTCTTCGTCCCCACTCCTCCCCCTGCCCTTCCTCCTGCCCCTCCCCCTTCGTCCTTCTCCTTCGTCCTCCTCCTCCTCCTCCTCCTCCTCCTCCTTCTCCTCCCCCTTCGTCGTCCTCCTCCTCCTCCTCCTCCTCCCCGATCTCATCCTCCCCCTTCCTACTCCTCCTCCTCGTCCTCGTCCTCGTCTTCCTCCTCCTCCTCGTCCTCCTCCTCCTCCCCCTCCTCCTTGAGCGCACCCTCGTCGCAGCAGTGAGCGAGCGAGGAGGGGCTGTGGCGGAGACCGCGTGTAGCCGCGTCAGTCCCCCCTCGTGTGCCTCCTGCTCGCGTCCCCCTCGTCCTTGTCCTCCTCGTCCTTGTCCTCCTCGTCTTGTCCACGTCCTCCTCCTGCTCCTCGTTATCCTCCTTCTCTCCTCCTCATATTCTTTCCGGATCCTCGTCCGAATCCTCTCCCTCCACGTCGCCCAAACGAACGACTGGCGTCAAAAAGAAAGCAGCGCGTCCCAGGCGAATCCAGGGCGGGGGCGTCTATAGCCTACAAGCGGGAGCAGGGGCAAAGGACCCCCCTGGCGTCCTCCTCCTCATAATCCGCCTCTTCGTCATAATATTCATTATCATCATCATCATCGTCATCATCATCATCATTATCACCACCACCACCACCGTCACCATCGTCATCGTCAGTATCATCACTATCATCGTCATGATTACCACCGCCGTCAGCATCATCATCATCATCATCATCATCGTCGTCAGCATCAACAGTATTACCATCAGCATCGGTATCACCATCCAAAACATCAGCTTCATCAACATCAATATCAACACCATCACCATCCTCACCGCCATCATCGTCGCCACAATCATGAACATACTCATCATGTTAGTCAGCGTGGACCCCGCACACTGCGTTTTTAGCAATATTTGTCATGCGCCTTATGTGGTTCAATCTAGGAGGTGCAGTCGATGTCATGCAGCCCGTTGTGTGCAACATATGTTGTGGAATATATGATGCGCGGTCCGCTGAATTCATTGTATTGAGTACAATCTAAGTTGTGCAATTGGATCATGCAACACATGTCGCGCAATCTATGGTGTGCCATGTGGTGCAACACATGTAACGAAAGCTACGGGGTCTAATTTACGTTGCGCAGCCCAGGTGACGCAATCTGTGTAAGTATTCGACCTTGCGCAGTACAATTTGTGAGCGTTATAGTGTGCAACATATATATATACATATATATATGTGTATATATATATAGATGATGCAACCGATGGTGTGCAGCCTAGGTGGTGCAGTGCATGTAGTGCAAACATCCCACCCACCACCCGCAACTTGGTTTGCAACACCCATGCGGTAGTGATCGCGATCCATGCTTGTCGTTGGCTGGTGCATCTCTGCGGCGGCGCCAACCCAAGCACGCTCGCGCAGCGGCCAACTAGTTTGGCGCGACCGAAGCGGCCGCGGTGGCGCTGATCGCTGGGCACCTCCCAGCGGGTACTTCACTCCGAGTCGGCGACTTGGGCGAGCGCGGTATCATGGCAACGTCGACAACGGTAGACACCTAGATGATAATAGCGATGCTGGTGACAATGTTGACAACGACGACGGCGCGGCCAGTGCGGGCGCCGATGCTGATCACGTTGACGATGAAGACGGCGTCCTCGCGTCGGCGATGAAGGTTTTGGAAAGAGTTCGACGTGCGCGCGCGGCCGACGCGCGAGAATGGCCCGCATCGTATTACAGCACGGATCGTGCCCCCCCCCCAGCTCGCGCGCAAGGGCGTGCGAATGGTGTCGGCATGCGGCGCGAGAGGCCCTTTTGGCAGAACTCCATGAACATGTTGAAAACCAAACGCCGATGGTTTCCCAATAATTCAGAAAAGCGCAAGCGCACGCTTTTTGGACAACTCATGTTGAGAAACCATGTTTGTTTGTATGTTTTTTTGGGCTCTCGATTTTGATACCGCTACGAAGCCAAACGTTTCCGACGGATTTCGGCATGCGCGCGGGCACGCGCGCGCGCACTTCGCCCCATTTTTTGCAATGGACTCTCGCGACAGCACGCGCGCAAGGGCGTCCGAACGACTTCGACGTGCGCGCACGCGAAGCCCGTTTAGCATCATTTTATGAACATGTTGAAACACCTATGCTCTTGAGAATTCGCAAGAGCGCGCGCAAATTGTTCTTTGAAAATCAGTGTTGCGCAACCGCGTGTGTGTGTGTGTGTGTGTGCGTGTGTATGTGTGTGTGTGTTTTCCTCACGAAGCAAAAGGTTTTTGAAGGATTTCGGCAAACGCGCGACGACGCGTCCCGTTGTTGTTAGTGTGCATGGGGTTCTTGACAACTTATGAGTTTTGATAAACGAGTGTGCGCGCATGGAATATCATTTGCAAAGGATGGCGGGGGGGGGGGTCGATACCAGCTTGCCTGGGAGGGTTTGAATTCATATATCGAATGGGCGATGGGCCATAATCGAATGTAAACTGCAATGCGAAACGTGGTGCGGATAATCCTGGGGGGGGGAGGGGCTAGAATCGAGCTAGGTGCGCTCGCGTCATATC